TTTTTTTTTTTAGTTTCATTGAATAAGGTATAACTGTTTTAACCAATCCTTTGGCTAAGAAGAATTTGAATTTGTTTGCATTAATTCATGCTATAGGCATGTGTGAATGATGCTATAACATGAAACTGTCTTCTAATATGTTCAAACACATGAATCCCAAAATGAGAGGGGAAAGCCCCACATAATAATTCAACAACCCAACAAATGTATATATATCATAAAATTTGTTGTGTGGCAGACTAACGGTTAAATTGGCCGATTTGTCATAAAAATGTATACTTATAATGTGAAGTATAATATATAAGTTTCTTATAGTAGTTGTTAAATTAAATGAGACGCTCGTGAGCTCGACTTGACTCGTTTGATAAATGAGTTGAGCTCGAACTCATTTAAAGCTCGTTCAGTTAACAAGCAGAGCTCGACTCAACTCGATAAGATTCGAAAAGATGGTTTTTATGTATTTTCTATAGTTCTGCTCCATTTTGGCTCGGGTTTGAGCTCGACTCGATTCTTTTACACCCCTAGTACTAGTCCGTGCTAGAAAGTTGAATTGTGAACCAAAAAAATGTTACACATACAAAAAAAACTGAAGAGGAAAAACCTTATAATATTGAAATGCCACATAAAAAAGGTACAAGGAATTATTTTATTACAACCCAAAACATAATATTATTCATCACTTGATTCGAGTCTTGTAGTAAGAAAAAAGGGGAACTAACAATAACTAAAGAATTACTAGTTTAGTTACTGGCCCAGATCTTCTCAAATGGAATTGAGAAATTTATGCCGCACACCATCAAGATCAATTTTAATTGTACATATACAAATTATAAATTTTATTTGCAATTATGCTGGAACCATAATTTTTATTTGGAATTATACCACATTCTTTATCCAACCCCTATCTACCCCTTTTTTTTCCGTCAATTCTTCTTCTTCTTCTTCTTCTTCTTCTTCTTATGCTGGAACCATAATTTTTATTTGGAATTATACCACATTCTTTATCCAACCCCTATCTACCCCTTTTTTTTCCGTCAATTCTTCTTCTTCTTCGTTAAATCAAATTTTTTGATTAATTTTTTATTTTGCTTTTCTGATTTATTTTTGTACATATATATATATATATATATGTATATATATATATTAGTTTTTATATTTGGTAATATATTATAATTGTTATTTGGTTTCCTTGTGTGATTGGGTTTCTTTCTCTTGATAGGTTTTCTACTTGGAAATTAAGAGATAAGGAGGAAAGGATATATATTGGTAGAGGCGTACGATTTACGTGGTGAAAAACAGAATTCAGAATAATAAAGGGCATATGATTTTTATTCAAAAAGACATAGCATGAAGTTCTAGCAGCAAGGCTTGAGTTTTTGGAGAACAAAGCTTCATGCGTGGCAATTTATTGTGCAAACCAAAAGCAGCAATCATATGGGCTTAGGGAATTACCTTGGAGTTTGATAATTTTTCAAGAGAACAAACAGTGCAGCAACGTGGCTTCTCTTTTTACTTTTATACATCGTTTATATTCGAGAGATTATTATGATATAGTGCATATTGTGTTCGAACTCGCGTTTTGTGTTTTTCATAGTTCACTAGATGTTTTGTATTGCATGAAAAACATTGTATTTGATTTGTTCTAGTGATATTTTTGGCATGTGGCCTTAGTCTACAAGTATATTAACTTGTAGACTAAATTTTGAATCATTCGTGTTTATTTATTTTCCGATGCGTATTTGAATTTCTGATATTTGTGTGAAAATCTTGATATTTACGTACCTATAATTCTAACAAGTGGTATCAGAGCGGGTCACTTAATTTAATAAGTGTGATTCTGA